CCCGGGGCCGGGCCGGCGTGGCGCGGCGTCCTACCGTCCCGGCCCGTTATTGCCGCTTCCTGAGCGCATCGGCCGGCGGCCTGCGTTGACGTCCGGCCGCTCGAGTCGGTGTCAACCGTCGCTATGGTGCCGGCCGGCAGTTGCGGTTGAGACCTCGGCTGTGGACCTGGAGGGGCCCTGCGGCGCGTGTGCTGTCCGGGTCCCCACGGTCTTTTGACCCGATCTCTCCCCGATGCTTCTGCTTTTAGGAGAGTCGCTTTTGTAGACGAAGGCATAAGGCCTTGTAAAAATTCTCAGTGACTCGTGGCTCTTGTGTTTTCAGTTGTGGGAGGGGGGAAAAAGGTCAGAACGTGAACCTGAGGCTACTTCAAAAAGGGAAACACTAAAGACGTTCAAAAATATCAAAGCTTGTATCCGTGGTTTTTTTTTCTAGTTCTCTATAATCAGTACCCTTCTCTTTTCTTCCTTCCATCATCCTGCCCCTCCTGTTTTCTGATAACGAAACATTTTCTAAGGAAATAATTGCCACCGAAGAGTTCTGAACCATCTAGAAAGTAGCATGGAGCTGGGCAGTTGGTGACTTCACGAAAGAAGCATTAACTAAAGCCTACAAGGTCGTAAAGAAGCCAGAGGAGTTAACAGTTGTGGATCTCCTCATTCCTTACCTTTAAAGGTGCCTTTTAAAGAAAGAAAGTAGATTTGTTTAGTGTGCAAAGAGGAGCAATAAGAAGGTACCCGTAGGCAAATGTCACATAGTTTCAACGGGAAACATTTGTTACTTTTTATTATTGGAAAGGTTAAATTTTGAAAGTTAACATTCATTCATTTTGAATGGAAGGAGGATTGATACAAATAAAAGCCTTGAAAATATTTTCCTACAGTGACTACCACTCTTAGTTACCTTAAAACAGAGAAATCGCCGCCTAGATCCATTATCCCTACTTGTGTTTGATTTCCCCCTCTGTATAAAGGGGATGTATGAAAGGACTAATGACTTCTTATACTCGGGGTTTGTATCCATTGCTAGGACTTTTTTCTAGTTAACTTTTGTTTTGTTTTGAGATAGTCTCTTATAGATCAGTCCACATCCAAGTACAAGCTCCTAGTTGATTCTTTTCAGCTGACAGAGCTTTATAAAAGTGTTAAGTAGTGAGTTAATGATATCTCATTGCCTTGACTAATACAGATGTTAGCTTTTCTGTGGTCAGCAAAGGTAAAGCTATATAATACATTCAGAATTAAAGAAAAAGCAGATTCTTACAAAATAATCAAGGGATATTTCTTACAAGAAATTGATGAAAATTCTAAAAAAGGAAGACATTTTAAACATACAGGAAAACTGAAATTGTTCCTTTTTTTAATTGCAGGTTTTTTCTTTAATGAAGAAGTAAATCATATAAATTGTCAACATGGGACGGAGATCAACATCCTCCACCAAGAGTGGGAAGTTTATGAACCCCACAGACCAAGCTCGTAAGTGCCATTAGTGTGGATGACGAAGTAGAAGAGATAAAAACTGCAGAGAATATTTCACTGTGGCTTAAGCAAGTTCAGCATTGGTAGGAGTGAGTTGGGTAAAGTCATGTTGAATTCTTAATAAAATTAATTCACATGACTAAATTGTTGAGAATGTAAGCAAGTTAAAACCATGTTTCTTTGTTGAACTTGGTTGACTTGCAAGATGAAATCGGATTGTCTTTTGTATTGGAGGTTTTAAACATAGTTTTTAAGTGATCGTTTGGTATTTGAGAATCTCTTTCTCCTTGTGGTTCAGTTGTCTCTGTGAAAACACACATTTTGACATTGGGGGTGTGAGGGTTAGAGCTACAGTTGTCGACAGGTCGGAGCCTCTGCTGTCGTTGCATAGCCCATGCTACATAGGGAAGCCTCAGGGGAAGTGTGTGTGTGTGTGTGTGTGTGTGTGTGTGTTGTTGTTGTTGTTGTTGTATAGATAGTAATGCTGATACTGAAGACGTGCGTTACATGGTCTTTTCCCCTCTCTTTAGGAAAGGAAGCCCGGAAAAGAGAACTGAAAAAGGTACAAATTCAGATGAACTCTGTATATTAATTGAGATTTTTGAATGAAATAATATTTCAAATTATTTGCCAGAAAAGATGCTTTATACTTCTAATAAAAATCAGACAATTGACTATTTAAAAACTGCTTTGGGGCTGGGGTGATGGCTCGGTGTTGAGTGGCACACAGTGCTCTCACAGAGGCTCTGAATCCATGCCTGGCATCAGTGTTGGGTGGCGCACAACCATCTGTTCTGATCTCCACAAGAACCCATAAACGCATGCCCATGCATGCACATAACACATACTCATAAATGAAATATTTTTAAATGCCTTTTGAGAATAATTCTTAGGTGAGTGTGGTAGTACATGCCTGTAATCCCAGCACTTGGAATGTGGAGATCATAGTCAAGAGTTATCAGGAGTTCAAGGCCAGCCTGCTACATCAGACCCTGTCTTCAGAAAGAAATTATTTTTGCTACTTATCAAAATGTAGCTGCTTTGTTAAATTAAGCTGTTGAATGAATGCCAATAAAAGTGTTGCTGGAAATCTGTGTGTATCTTGTTAGCTATTGACAAAGAACTTACAGGAGTAAACATTTGCTATCCCTCTTCAATGCATTGAGGGGCTTTTATAATCTCTAATATGCCTTTGTTTTATTCTTTAGTCTTGAATCTTTCAAAAACGTCCCTGTCCAGCATAGTATTTTTTTAATTTAATTGCAACTCTTGTTTTTTTGTTTTTAAATAAGATTTTCTTTTAGTTGCTGTCTACTGGGTTGATGGAATTACTTCCTAAAAGGCAGATCTTTTTAGTAAAGTCTAAACATTGTTGAGAACATGAAATCTCATAGCTTTTTCTGGTTGTTTAAATACATGATTAGAAACAAAGGGAAATGTGAAATTATTCTCAGATTCTTGAGACAAATTGAAGTAAAGATGTCCCAAGCATCCCGCCTCTCACTAGTTTTCTCTTTTGTTTCCCTAAGAACAAAAAACAGCGCATGATGGTCCGAGCTGCGGTTCTGAAGATGAAAGATCCCAAACAGATTATCCGGGACATGGAGAAATTGGATGAGATGGGTAAGACTGTATGGAAAGGCCTGATTTAATAACAAGTGTAATAATATGTTGTACACAGCAGCAAGCAGCATAGGCCTAGGGAAACAGCAACCCAATAGCATCGGATACCATGTTTTGTTTTAATGTTATGGAAATAAAGTGAAAAGATAAGATCTATTTCTAGCTGGTGATCATATATACTGAAGAGAGAAGGCATCATTCAGTTGGAGTTAATTACTGTTATTAGGTAACAAAGGCCTAGTCTGGCCAGCTCACTTTATAATTGTTCAGATTTCATTATATTTTCCTTTGCTATTGTAAGTAGAGTAAGAAAAGACAAATTCCTAGTCACTGGGAATGTTGCAGTAATATATCTTCTAGATGTGAGTAAATCTTCGTTATAGGAAGATTTAGGAAAAGAATTTAATTCAACTGGTACTTCAAGAAAAAAAAAAATTCTAATCATCGGGGCCCTAGTTCCATTTATAAAAATCTAAAGTAATTAAAATCGAAAGGTGTGTGTTGGCTTCCATAATCGAGATACCCCTATAAAGCTGCCTCCGGGAGGAAGCCCGGAAATCTGAGGGCTGTGTGTTTCTGCTCTGCTCCAGCACAACAGTAGTGAGCAGCTGCCTGGGGTAGCAGTGGAAGGTGTGTGTGCAGTGAGGGTAGCGGTCGACACGGCCATAGCATCGCAGCAGATAGCGGGAAAGCCGCTCTTTCATTCCCAGGTCCAGAGAGGACTGTCATGCAGCTGGGTGACCGCGTGCTAGTTTATAAGTCTGTGGAGGAAGATGAGATTGGCAGGACTGGGAGTCTGTCCCTCCTAGCACAAAGGACTCCAAAATGAAATGGTGGTATCTGAATCTAGTTTGTTATAAGGAGGTTGTTGTTGAAGTAGC